CACCTTCCCAGCCCAAGTTAACTGAACTTTATGTCCACACAAAACCCTGCACACAAATATACGACATCGGGGCTGGTGGTGGTCAGCTGAATGGATGTCAGCAGTGAGGGAGGAATGAGTAGGTAGAGTACAAGGAAATTTTTAGGACAATGAAATTACCATTTGATACTACAGTGGTAGACAAACACCACTATATATTTGTCAAAACCGAACCGTACTGCACATGAATTTTAATGTAAACCAAGGACCTCAATGAATAATAATCTGTGTGTGTGGGGTGTGTGTGTGTGTGTGTGTGTGTGTGTGTGTGAGGGGGTTTGAACTTGGGGCCTAGGTGCTGTCCCTGACCTTTTTCGCACAAGTCTAGGGCTCTACCACTTTGAGCAGCAGTGCCACTTCTGTTTTTTCTGATGGCTAATTGGAGGACTTTCCTGCCTGGGCTGGCAACAAACTGCAATCCTCAGATTTCAGCCTCCTGAGTAGTTAGGATTGCAGGCATGAACCATTAGAATCCAGCTAATTTGCCAATATTGATTCATAAGTTGCAACAACTATACCACACTAATGCAAGCTTATTAGTAATAAGGGAAATGTGGAGGGAAGGTACAGGAAGTCTATCTATATCATGCACCATTTTTCTATAAGCCTAAAATGGCTCAAAAGACAGTCTATTAATAAAAAAGAATGAATTATTGATATGCGTTAAAATATGAACTTTCAAACGATCATGCTAAATCTAAGAAGCCAGACAGAAAATGTGACATATTCTATTATTCCATTCATATGAAATGTCCAGAAGAAGCAAATTCATAAAGACAGAAAGCAGATTAGTGGGTGCCAGGGGCTGAGGGAAGCAGGAGAAAAGGAATGACTGCCTAATGGGTTGATGAAAAGAGACAATGTGAATAGAGGTACAACTTTGGGAATGTATTAAATGACCTTGAGTTGTTTTAAATGGTGAGTTTTATAATGCAAGAGGACAGCTTTTAAAATTAAAACAACAGCAACCATTTTTCTGACTTGGAGGGCAGTATACTGCTGGTTTGATGCTTTACAGTGATCTAATACCCTGAAGGTCTGTTATTATGGGATAAAAGCTAAGGATATGGAGTTGAAGGGATGGCTCAGATGGTAGATCGCCAGCCAGTGAACAAAAGAGTCAGATACCAAGTTTGAGTCCTGGTTTTAGACAACAACAACAAAAAAACTAAGGATAATGAGGATTTCCATCATCAGCTCATAACACTTCTCATGTTTTTCCACTGAAGTCTACTTTGAAGAACAGACATATTTCTTCAGAGAAGTACCATTGAAATAATCATTGCTACAGTGACATTCTTTTATGAGTCACAGGAAGTATGCTCTTAAGAAGCTATGCATTTGGAGAACCTGGTGTGGTGGCTCAAGCCTGTAATCCCAGCTACTTAGAAGCCAGAGATTGGGAGGATTTTGGCTTGAGGCCAGCCTGAGCTAAAGTTAGTGATACCCCATATCAACTAACAATTCTTGCTACTAGAAGTATAAGTAAGAGAATGGCAGTCTGAAGCTGGCTCTGGTGGAGAGGGAATGTGAGATGCTATCCAAAAAATAAACAAAAGAAAGGGGAATGTGGGGCACGGACCAATTATGGAGTGCTTTCCTAGTGCTTTGAGTTCAAGCCCTAGTATTCACCCCCCCCCCAAAAGAACAGAATAGGACTAGAGGTATTGCTCTGTAATTGAACACTTGCACAGAGTATGCAAAAAAAATTTGTTCTATTCATGAAGACAACAAATCTGGTCATCTCTGTTTTGGAAACTGAATAGGCTTTACTAAAGCATGTGCATAATCACAATACATGGCTTCAACTCTCATATGTGAGATTCTGGACTCAATCCCCAGCACCAGAAAATAAAAACATCTCAAAGAAATAAAACTTTTTTTGGGCATTAGGAATCACCTTGAAAGATCCCCATTAGTCAAAGTTGGGATAAGTTGAATATGAAATATAATAATAACTAGAGTGAACTGGAACACACCAAACATATTTAAATCAATGAATTTACAACGATGCTGAGGACATAGCACAACCCTTGTTAGTTACCCTAGAAGGATTCTAAGGAGACAACACAAAACTAGCAAATAAGTGAAAAACCCTCCAATTTTTAACCAGTCTTTCCTATGCAAATTATACCCCAGGATAATCAAATTATTGATGAAAAAAGGTTTGTCTTTATAGAATTATTGCAGCTAATGGAAAGGGATGAGAGAATTACAAATAATCATTTTATAATTCCTACTGAATTAATGGACCTAAGCAATTAATGGACCTAGTCAATGGCTATCACAAAAAGAAAGAACCAGACATCATATATTTCCTAACAGAAGTATGCACCATTACTCATGAAACTGTCTTGCTGAAAAAGAAACACTCACTCCCCAAACCTGAATTCAATTAACCTTATCTAACTACCAACTCATAGGAAACACAAAGATATTGGGTAAGCAGTTACCTCTGTAATTGTGGTAAAGAAAAGAAGAAAGCTTAAGAGTCAGCTTTGGGGTACTGCAATGTCCACTGACTGAGTACAGGAGCAGGAATGCGGTGTTTGGGAAATAATGTTTCTTCTTTATCTGCATTCTCTCCTTGGTTGTAGTACTTTGTGTTATGTCTCCAAAACTTACATCCACTCTAACCCTGACCTCCACTTTGAGGTCCAGACTCACACAGGCATACCTTTATAAAAACTTTATTGTTGTTTTTAAGCAGTTGAGCAAAGGGTTATAATTCCTTACATTAGGCAAGGAATATAATGCTTCTTGGACAATGTCACCACTTCTTTTGTCTTTTGTTTTTTGAAACAGGATCTCTGTATCTTTCTATTTATAGGCATGTTAAGTGCTGGTGGCTTATGTCTATAATACTAGCTATTCAGGAGGTTGAGATCTGAGGATCATAGTTCAAAGCTAGCCTAGGAAGAAAAGTCCATGAGTCTCAATCTCCAAAATAGCAAAAAGCTGTGCTGAAAGTGTGACTCAAGAGATAGAACAAGAAAGGTGAGCAAGAGCCCAAGGCTCTGAGTTCAAGCTCTGGTGCCAGAAAAGAAAGAGGAAAGAGAGAAAGAGAGAAAGAGAGAGAGAGAGGAAAGGAAGGAAGGAGAAAGGAAGAGAGGGAGGGAAGAAAGGAAAGAGAGAAAGGAAGTATGATCATCTTAAATGAAATTACAAATACAAGAAAACTAGGTCATTTCCTATTCTACAAATGAAAATAGTAGAGGAAGCAAGAAAGATGAATACTTGTTATGGTTATAATGTAGGCAGGCTCTGGCATCCAAGCCGTGGGCTGGAGGCCGGTGGCTCATGCCCGGCTCAGTGGCTCACTCCTGTAATCAATCCTAGCTACTCAGGAGGCTGAGATCTGAGGATCGTGGTTCAAATCCAGCCAGTGCAGAAAAGTCCCTGTGAAACTCTTATCCCCAATTAACCACTCAAAAACTGGAAGTGGCTCTGTGGCTCAAGTGGTAGAGCGCTAGCCATGAACACAAAGAGGCTCAGGGTCAGTGCCCAGGCCCTGAGTTCAAGCCCCACAACCAATAACAACAACAACGACGACGACGACGAAAGCTGTGGGTTATGAACCTTGGTGGGACACTTCACCGGCTCTGTGACTTTGGGTGATTTTACTGATCAGTACAACGGGAAATTGTAACAGCATCTACCTGATAGACTTGTTGGGGGAGATGAAGTAACTGCAGGTAAAGCTGGGCCTGGGGGTGAGAATATGAATTTAGGAGAAAGTCAGAAAGGAAGCTGAGTGCAGTCCATCCCCGAGCCAGGAATGGAGTCAGCACCGCCGGGCAGAACCGCTAGGCACTGCCAGTGATTTCAAGGCCTTTTTCTAGTCCCTTACAAGGAAGCTACTTGTCAAAAAGCGAAGGCCAGGTTCTTGACGTTCTGGAGAATGGAAGGGAGCCCCCTTTCCCATGTCACTCCGATCGGGAAAAGCCCTTCGGGGTAGGAAGTTTCCCGACTGCCAACATGTCTCTTCAGCATCCCCCTCACCACAATGGCCCCTCTCAACACTTCCCTTCTCCCCGCAGCGGCCCCGCCGGGCTCAGTCTGTCTCTTCCACTAAAGGAGACTTCTTTCCTCGGTCCAGTTCTGTAGGCTATCAAGGGTGCCCGATGCTTTCTCTTCCCTCTCCTCCCCCTCAATTCGCCGCTCTCTACCTGCTCCTTTGATTCCTCCATTCCACCCTTTCTGCCTCAGTTTCCCGAACCTCCTACGCCTCAGAGACCGCTCTGCCATTGTTTCCTGCCTCCACCTCCGGCTCCCCGGCCTCTCCACCTCAGTTTCTCCTCCAGGCATCTAAAGCACACTTCTTGCCCAAACCCTCCTGGCCCGCCCCTACCCGGCTGCTCCAGGCTCAGCGCCCCCAGGCGGCGGATGCCCTCCTCGTCCAGATCCCACTGCTCCGCCATCCCCGCCTGCCGCTCACCTGCCGCAGCCCGCGAGACCGCCCCGCGCGTGCCAGGCCCAGCGCGCGCCGGGGCCCGCCCGCGCCAGGTCCCCACCCTACATCGCACCTGACCACGCCCGCTCAAGGCCCCGCCCCTAGATGCCCCCCTAGCCCCGCCCAGGCCGCAGCAGGATTTCACTCTACCATCACCCCCCCACGTGCTAGGCTCCGCCCCGAGAAGGCCCCGCCCCTTGTACTTCCAGGCTCCGCCCCGAGCCAGGCTCCGCCCCTACCACCTCCTTCAGCCCCCTCCTCAGAGTGCACCGGGCTGGGCTCTGCGTGGCCGTTGGTGGTTAGGTCACGAGACTGCCCGCCAGCTGCAGGAGTCGCCACCATGGTACGGATCCTGCCCTTGATCTGAGCGTCCAAACCACTAAGGAGATGAATGAAGGGAACTGGGGCTCAGGATTTGTGGAGCATGGAGGTGGGAGGGTGGCCCTGACTTTGAAGGGTTTCGGGTGATGGCTCTGAGTAGTTGGGAAGATGTATTCTCTTGAGGGATGAACTAAGTTTGGGGGTCACCAGGTGTGAGGAGCGTCATGGCGTCCTCTGACAGGGTGGAGGTCTTCCTATCTCGTGGCCAGAGGACGGTGACTGTTGCAGCAGGCCTGGGGCAGTTGGAGGGGTCAAGGGGGATCCAGATCTGAAGGGCTGGGGGCGGAGGGAGCAGATTTCTGAGGCATGATGGGGAAGTGTCCTATGCAAAAGGTTGGGAAACTTGGTTCTGGGAATTGAGGTCCTGTCTTTAGAGCATCAGGTGAGTTGGAAGAGGCTCCTTGGGGGAGAGGGGTCGGCGTAGAAAAGGAGACGATGCTCTTTGGGATGAGGTGAGGATGACTATTGGAAGGCTGCCCTGTTTTACTGCAATCCTGCAAGAGGCCATTTGTCCCCCCAAGTTTACCTGTGGTGGAAGGCTCTCCCCAGGCTGGGACAGTTCTGCACTAAACAGCCCCTAAGTAGTCTTTGGGAACAAAAACTCCACTAACTTAACCTTTACCTTCACTCTAGCCATGCATTTTTAGAGGGTCTTGCTGTGGACGGTGTGTAAGGAGGCAAACTTGAGCCAAGACTCTTGTCATATTCTTTCCTTAATATGAAAAGAGCTATCTATGTTCAGCACTTAGAACTGATTCGAAGAGCAGCTTTTCTTTAGCATCCAAAATCTGCATGCTTTGAGCACTGCCCTTGGATTCTCAACCAGCTAGTCACCAGGAGAAAGCACAAACAAGAGTCCTTATATAGTTAATGCTTTATCCAATATAGGTGGGGCCACTAGTTACCCTCAGTTTGTCATGGCCAGACATTGCCATGTTTGGAGAAAAACCAGGACTCAAAAGCCTAGATTAGCTCATTTTGGGGTTGACTTTTCCAGCTGTGCCACTGTCATGACAGCATTTTACAATTTATAAATTTTCTCTTTATCCTCACCCCCTCCTAGAGCTCTTTTAGTCTCAAATGTGGCATATATAATTGTTCTTTATATTTGAATAGTTAGAGCAAACTTTCTCTAGAAGAAATGGCCCAGCCTCCTTCATTGTTGCATACATTTATTTTTTTCTCAACTGTCAGAATAGGAGATCCAGGTTTTTGTTGGAATAATTACCTGTTACCTTAACAATCTTCCTCACTACTGCCAAAGTTTTTATATAAAATCTAAACATTCTGATAATGTTGTAGGCGTGGTGGTCATGAGCTGAAGAAGATGAATGATTTTTACTTTATTGTGTGTTTTTATGTCCATCCTGGGGCTTGAACTCAGGGCCTGGCTGCTGTCCTGAGTAGCTTTTTTATTCAAGCCACAGCTGCTCCTCCAGCTTTTTGCTGCTTAATTGGAATCTCCTGGATTTAGCTACCTGGGGTAGCTTCAAATCTCAATCCTCAGCTTTCAGCCTCCTGAGAGGGCTGATTTGTGCCTTTATTGTATATGAAAAGGCATCTGCATTCACCCCACAGAGGTTTAAGTGTCTGCTGGTAAGAGCTAGAGAACTTTGCACATAGTAAGATAGTGTCTCATTTGTTAAACTGCATTGCTGGGATATCATATGTGAATTTATTTCTACCACCTCCACTGCTATTCCTCTAGCCCAAGCAACAATCAACTGTGGGGGGCGGGCAGGAGGGGGTGTTACTGGGTCTGGAGCTTAGGGCAGGGCCTTTTTTTGGCTCAAGGCTAGCTAGATTTACCACATGAGCATACCTCCACTTCTGGCTTTTGCTGGTTAACTAGAGATGAGTTTCATAGACTTTCCTGCTCTGTTTGGCTTCAAACTGATCCTCAGATCTCAGCCTTCTGAGTAACTAGAATTACAGATGTAAACCCAGTCAAAAAGAAGTTTATACACATTAATAGTCACTCCTCACGCCCTCCTCCAAACTTCTACCCTCCCAACAGCCACTAATCTACTTTGTCTCTACAAATTTGCCTTTTCTGAGTACTGCATGTGAATGAATCATATACTATGTGATATTTTCTCTTACATAGTTTTTTATGGTTCACCCATGTTATAACATGTAGCAGTATTCATTCTTTTTATTTATTGACATAATATTCCAGTGGGTGTGCTTTTATTTATTCATTCACCAGTTGATGGACAAATTCAATTAAACAAAAAGTAAGGATTTATTTCCAGACTTCATCTCTATTCCACTTATTTATATGGCTTTCTTTATGCCAATAGTGTTATTATCTAGCTTTACAGTAAGTATTGATAGTGGAAAGTTTGAATCCTCATTTTCATTTTCAAAAAATTGTTTTGGTTTACTTGGGTCCCTTGTGTTTCTGTACAAAATTGGTATCAGTTTGTCCAAGTTTTGTTTTAAAAAGTGAGGGAAGGAACTGTTAGGCTTTTCATGGGGATTGTGTCTATAAATTTGGGAAGTATTACCATTATTAGTGTGATTATTGCTATTATTGCTTTTGCCTTTTGATTTCTAAGTTGGCACACTACCACTTTTTTCTGTGGCCCAAGCTGGCCTGGACCTTGAAATCCCCGTGTTTGAATGCCAACTGCAGGGATTATAGGCATGGCTGACCATACCTACTTTGAGTATTGACATCTTCATGTGTGTGTTTATATGTATTCCTGGTACATTTCTGGGGCTTTAACTCAAGAGCTCAGTTGCTGTCCCTGAGCTTCCCCCCTACCCCCAAGGATAGCATTTTCCAGTTGAGCCACTTCTGGCTTTTTTGTGGGGGGGTCTGGTCATGGGGCCTGAACTCTGGGCCTGGGTACTGTCCTTCAGCTGTTCAGCTCAAGGCTAGCACTCTACCACTTGAGCCACAGTGCCACTTCTGGCTTTTTCCTTTTTGCTTATGTGGTGCTGAGGAATCGAACCCAGGGCTTCATGCATGCAAGGCAAGCGCTCTACCACTGAGCCACCTTCCCAGCCCCACTTCTGGCGTTTTTGATAGTTAATTAGAAATAAGCATCTCAGAGACTTTCCTACCTGGGCTGACTTCAAACTGCAATTATCAGATCTCAAAGCCTCCTGATTAGGATTACAGGCATGAGCCACTGACATCCAACTGAGCATTGTCATCTTAACAATATTAACTCTACCAATCCATGAATATGTTTTTCCATGTAATTTGTTTTGTTTGTTCTTTTTTCTGCCTTTTGAAGAGGGGCACGGAAATAGAGTGAACAGATGCAGTCATGGTACTCAGTAGACACTATGTGGAAAATGAACTATGTATCCTGTGGGCAGAGATAGGAAGGGGAAACAGGAAAAGCGAAGAAAGGGGTGACATTGTCCAAAAAGAAATGCACTCATTACCTGACATTTGAAATGGTAACCCCTCTGTGTAGCACCTTAATAAGAACAACAAAATTATATTTATAAATTAAAAATTCTCTCATTGGGGATGTGGCTTGGATGGTAGGACACCTGCAGTATTGCTAGCTAAGTGAAGTCTTCCAACAATGGTTTGAAGTTTTCAGAGTACCTACGTATTATACCTCTTATGTTAAGCTTATTCCTACGTAGTTTGTTCATTTTGATGCTCTTATAAATGGAATTGTTTTCTTCCTTGCTAATATATAAAAATGGAGACTATTTATTAAAAATACTAATCTGTACCCTTCAACCTTGCTGGCTCATAATAGCTTTTTCGAATTTTCTATATACACGATTATGTCATTGGCAAATATAGTTTACTCATTTCTTCCCAATCAGGACTTTCCATTTTTCTTCCTTTTTTTCTTTTTTGTTCTTTTTCATTTGTCACACTGGGGCTTGCACTTGGGATCTTGAAGAAGTAGGTAGTCTACCATTTGAGCAACACCCCCAGCATGTTTTGCTTTAGCATATTTTTTCCCCCTGATATCTAATGCTCTTGCTTGGGGTGGCCAGGATTTCACTCACATTTTGCCACAAACCATGATTCTCCCTTCTCCACCTCCCACACGGCAGCAGTTATAGGCCTGCACTACCCTGCCTTGCTATTTCTTTTTTCTTACAGAGCTCTCTTTTCATTCTCCCTTTAGGAGGAGGCTGGCATGTCCCATGAATCATCAGAGGATTTATTTCATTTCAATGTTGGAGGCTGGCATTTCTCAGTTCCAAGAAGCAAACTTGCTCAGTTCCCAGACTCACTGCTGTGGAAAGAGGCATCAGCCTTGTCTCCTTCAGAAAACCAGCGGCTCTTCATCGACAGAGATGGCTCCACCTTTAGGCACGTGCACTATTACCTCTACACCTCCAAACTCTCCTTCTCCAGTTGTGCAGAACTGAACTTGCTCTATGAGCAAGCCCTGGGTTTACAGCTGATGCCTTTGCTGCAGGTAAGACATTCTTCTTTTCCAAAGGGCAATCAGTAACAAGCTTTACATCACTAAATGCTATGCTGTTTTGTGGATTGATTGTTGGGATGGACTTAATGGGCAAGTGTAATGAATGATGTAAAAGTAATGATAATACATGGATATTGCATTTTCTTTCTTTCTTTTTGGTGGTACTGGG